CTTTTACAATGGTGGCCTCGTGTACCATGCCTGCCGTTGTGCCCCCAGACACGGCCGAGCTACCAAAGCCACCGAACCCGGGTGCCTTTTTGCCCTGTCTCTCTGCGTCTCTCCTGGCCTGCTGCAACTCCTTCGCTTTACGGCGCATCTCAGCTTTTGCTTCGCGCTCCTGAGTCTGAAGCAAAAGAAGAGAGAGGCCGTTAGAGCTTTGCAATCTCAATCTTATTCTGCACAGGAGCTAAGTGCATTTGCTCATAAACCCTTTGCAAACTACAAAGGAAACAAGAGACAGGGATTTAGTTTGCGGAGAAGCTGAATAATTTTTTACAACCCCTCTGAAAGCGGCGTAACACCTTTGCGCAAGAAGAGCAGCGCTGCCCAGACAGAGTAGCCCGTACCAGGCTCGCAGTTATTCCCCGCTCACCTCTCGGACTGCTCGGAACACCTTTTCTTCATGCGAGTCCATCTCGGTGAAGGTCCGAATTTGCGCCAGGTTTACATTCTCACGGTAGCCCAGGGCAACAATTTCATCAAAGGCAAAAATCAGGTCAAAGCAGTGTTCGGAGATCTCATTCTCCTCCAGAGCTCGACAATATTCAGGGATCTAGTTAGGGGAAAACATTTTAATGGAGTATCCAAGGACGATATTGCGTAAACACTTTCTTTGCACTAACCCCGGACTTCGCAGCTGCGCTAGACCCTCCACACAAGACCAGTGCACTGTTAAGATGCTCTTCCTAACTTTACATTGTTGATAAACAACACGATGAAGTTTTGCCATTATTAGTTTTTCTGCGCTAAAAGACTTGGACAACCTCTTAGCCGAGTTGTAACGCTAACTTGGAGGAATCTAAACACACACTGGGGTCAGCGAATTTCCTGAAGATCCTTTGGTTGTGTGAAGACAGGTGCACAAACTCGCTGCTTAGAAATGCACGTAAAGTAGCACTGTACTTCTAACAATCACGTGCCGTAATGTCACGTTGCTTTTAGAAGGAATACGGGTGTTATCTTAAAAGCAGAGAGAATATGTAACGCTAAATTTACAACATCATCCCTTTGATCTCACCAACTAAACTGCAACCAAAGATTTTATTTTTTTTAATGCATTGTTCAAAAATACCACCAAAACTTCAAAGCTCGCTTCCAGGTCAGGAAGAGGCTCTGGAAAATCAGCTGCCGGGCGGAGGCAGACAGCGCTCCAGCACCAGCTCACCAACAGGTTCCCTTACAACAGCACTCTTTCGAGCTACACGCCCGCCAACTCAGCATTAAGGGACAGATCCTTACCACTCTGGAGAAGAGTCGGAGTGTTTCCAGGTCTTCCAGGATGTTGCTGTTCTTGGTGGTGATCAACACCATGTAGAGCTTCTCCATCGGCTGATAGACGTACCGCACGCTCTCCGTTTCCACAAAGGTGTGCTGCTTCCCCGTGTTCATCAGCTTTGGGAAAGCCGCCAGCAGCCCCTCGATGCGGGTTCGAGTCATCTCCACGAACTGCCGGGAGACGATGGCCTTCCCCGCCTTTGTGCAGACGGCTGCTGCCAACAGCACCTGCGGAGAAGGCAAGCGCCGGTTAGCCAGGCCTCCCACACCGTGCAGCCTCTGCGAGCCCGGCTTGCTCAAGGAAAGGAGTGCTTCCGACTACGTTTCACCTTCACATGTACCGCGCAGTCAGCTGATTTTCCTTAAAATGCGATTTTAAGTCTTTTTCTGGGAACGGCACCAGGAACTGAACGGAGCAGATCTTGCTTTTCTCTCCCTCCAGTTCACGTGCTGTTCTGAACGAAAGCTCTCGGTGATCCCGTCGGGCAGACGCAGCAAATCAGCCCATTCCTACAGACGCAGGGGTGTGACACCCCCCCCC